GGGGGGTAGCAGTGCCCGATCCTGCAGCCAATGGATCGATCAGGAGGAATTTGTAGAAGATGGAGGCGTGTTTTAATAAGAGCTGGAGAGTGGGCGCCATCCTCCCTATTCCCAGGACTTTAAATTATGAATTGCAACTTCAGCATCTTATTCGAGAGAGAAGAGAAGAGGGGGGAACAATTTCACCATGATAGACTAATAGACACAAAAGGAGAGCACTCATATCTACCAAGTGACCAGATCATGGAACCTGAGAGGTTCTCCGTTAGGGTGCTGGAGGAACTTTGGGGAGGAAGCAGGTTTGCTCTTAGCTTTTCAGAGAATGCATGCTTAAGCCTGTGTAATTCATATTATTGTTGTTATTATTATTATTCTGTAGGAGACGGGGATGAGGGCTGATGTGAAGGCCTTAGTCCATTTTGCTGCAGACCTCAGCCGAGTGCTGCAGAGCTAATGTGTGATCACCTGAAGATTAACGCATGGTTGCTGCTTTCTGTTGGGCATTTGAATAACCAGCTTGATGAAGCCACTTAACTCCTTCCAATTATAGGTGCCAAAAGGGGGTGCATAGAGAAAGGGGGTTTCCATGTGCAAGCAGTTTCACAATCCTGTGTCATAATCAGATTCCAGAAACTGAACTTGCGGAAAGTTTGTGCTAGCCTTGTGGATTTTCATTTCAGATGTTGTCAACTCAAGGGCATTTGGGCCAATCAATATCTGCCTGTCTTCTCGCACATAGAAAGTTGGCTATTAGAAAAGAGAGGCTTACAGCAGGCTCAGCCAATACCATTAGCCCTAGCCTAAGGGCAGTTCTGTCCATGTGCCCGGATAGGCACCTGCCCCCTCCCCTCCCCCACCATTAGAGAGGCCACTTGGGATGTCATTTGGACAGAGCGGGCAAAGAGCACTTCTTTCTTCTTTCTCTTTTTTACACCCAGACTCCCCCAAAATCAATAAATCTGTTCCTTGCTTATTTTCAGAACTTTACTTCAATATAAGCAAGGACTTCCCTTCCAGCAACAAACTCCAGTAACACCATGTCAGGCTTATGTGTGTGTGTGTTTGCTTTTTCTGTTCCAATTTGAAAAATAATTGGAAATAATATCTGATTGATGTTCTCTCCCCCTTCCTTCTTTTTAGCTAAAGATTTCCTAGATGAAAGACTTTGATCTACTGCCTTTCAGAATTTGGTACTTGATTTTCTGTTCCAGGCAGTCTTTTCTGTTCCAAATGGTTTTGTGAAATAGAGGAAGCAAGGTATTGTTTTCCTAATCAGAGGGAACTTTGTGCAAATTGGCATCTTGTCTGCTGCAAGCCTATTGTGAGTTCCTGATGTTTTCCTTGAGATTGTGCTTTTTTTAGGGGAACAAGAATAGCTCTCTGGCTGAAAGAAAAGCCCCAAGCACTTAAGATACCAGGAAAGAAAAGAAGAATGGAGAATTGAGTAGTGAGGGTTCAGATGTCTCCTGGTAGGTCTTAGACTTTTGTTCAGATTGGCATGCTATTTCTCTCTGTCACTGTTTCTTTCTCTCCCTGCCTTGGTTTCTGCCCCTTGTTAAAAGGAAATAATGTCACAACACAAATGCATTGAGATTGGTGCTGACTATTGCAAAGGCCTAGAGAAAAATGAGGGGCAGCTGTGGATCATTCTAGGCATGACACCAAGCCAACTTGGATCCAGCTGTTGGCACACAATAAAGCATAACCAGGGCTATGTTAGTGCCAGGGGTATGGAACATCTGATGTTAAAGTCTTTAGAATTCACCAGAGAACCACAGGAAGAAACTCTGAAGTGCAGACAGAGATCAGAGTTTGAGAAAGGCAACATATCCAACAAAGGAAAAATGTGATTCAGAAACAGGGACACGTGGAATTAATGTGCAGTGGTACGGTCCAAGAATGCAGTGTTTTTCTAGACTGACCCAATGTAGAATTAATGTGTCTCTTCAGAAAACATCATCAGGATTTAGTATTTCTCACAAAGAGTGGAGAAACAAGGAATCCAAGTAGGCTTGCTGATCCAAGCCAGCCTCTAACACTAACCCATTCACAGGCAGAAAGAATGTCCTCCAAGGTAAAGACATCTGTTGGCAGACAGAGGTAAAGAGGTGGAATCCCCTTCCATTCCTGAGAGAGCACAGTGTTCAGCTCTTTCTCAAATGCGATTCTGGATTGCTTCCTCCCTGACAGTTGCTGCAGAGATAGCATAGCCTGGCTCTCTGGCATACCGACTCTCTTTATTCGTTGTAATTAGCAAGGGTAATTTTTTGGCAAGGTTCCGGAATGGCCCATGAGGGGTTTTTATGTCTGAAAGCAGAGGAGAGCTCAAGGTGAGATCCCCAGTCACAGAAGAGAAGACAAAGTTTTATTGTGAAAGCTAGAAAAGCAGTTTAGAGCATCAGGTTGGAAACTAGGACTGCCTGGGCCTCAAGGCAGTCCTGATGAGGTTGTTCTTGAGTCTGCCACTTGGGGTCTGGTCAAGTGGGCACATGGGGCCTACAGGGCTAGAAGACACTACTCTGCTAGACAAGGCATTTACTCTTTGGGGGCTGTGCTGAGCAGAAGTCAGTTTTGAAAGAGACTGTAGATCTGAGTTTGCCATTGTCACATGCCGGTACCTAGGTCTCTGACAGAGCAGCAAGGATGGCTTGTGAGCTGAGAAGATGAAAGCATGGTGAATGAGTTCAGATCCCAGCCTGTTGTCGAATATTTATTAGGTTCTATAGGGCTATTCTATGACCCTGCTAACCTCCCAACAATTGAGACAGAGACCTGTTGGTTTATTTAAACCAGTCTCAAGCACAATAACTGGGCAGAGATGAAAATCATTAAGAGTTCTTAAATGGTCTCTCCTAGAACTCACTCTGTAGACCAGTCTGGCCTTGAACTTGGAGAGATCGCCTGCTTGTGCCCCCTGAGTGCTGGCATTAAAGGTATGCACCAACACCACCCAGCATGCATTCGAGAAGCTGGATGTGGCTGCCTGTCACCTCAGAATAACTATTAAAAGTAGAGAAAGAAGGCTCACTGAGGAGCTTGCTAGCCACCAGCCTACCTCTGGGCTTAGTGACTCATCTCAAGGGAATAAGGTGACAGAATAGGACAACTGATGTCTTCTGGTCTTCTCATGAACTCACAGGCGTGAGCACTTGCACACACATATATGTGTGCATCTGTAACACATAAAAACACACACACACACACACATCAAATGCCTTTTGCATATTCAAATATGCAAAATATACCTTTCTGAATACTACCAGACAGAGATATCACTCAAATCCATAAAGCCAAGTAAGTCATTGAACAACAGACTTTCCTGATTGAGGAAACAGAATGATGGTTCACTCTACTGGTGAAGTCTCTTAATATGTCAAAGAATGTAGCACCCAGGCAGGATGTGAACCTCTTGCTCCCTGGATGTTAAGTGGTGCTTTTGTATTACTGTCCTGGCTTGAAGCCTAGAGAGGGACCATAGTTCAAACCCCTCCCCATTATCTTCTCCTGCTTGAGAAGGGGGAATGGAACTTAGCTTGGGGCAATCACCATTGGGGTTAGACTTTGAGATAGGGCCTTCTTTGCCAGAGAAAGTGGATCACTGGGGTGGATATGGGACTCGAAATTTCTTAGTCTAACCTATCTCCTGTCTGGTCTCTTCTTCCCTACTGTACGCACAATGCGTCCAGCTGCTCCATGTCCCTGCTACCATGCCTTTTCTGCCATGATGGAGGACATCCATCCTTAAGCTGTACTTTGGGATTCAGCCTGCCAGGTATTTGGTTTAAGCAAGGAGAGCAGTAACTGACAGAGCACCCAGTTCTGTTTTGGTCACTGGCACCCAGAGTTTTGGTGAAGAAAAATCCCTAGTGGTTCTGAAGGTGACCCACTTTCCAAGAATTATTCCTAAGGGAAGAGACTTCTGTGGTGCAAAGGACAAAGAATTCTGAAGCTACTGTGTGATCTTTTCTCCACAACCAGGAGAGCCCAGGGCATTCAGGGTGGGATGGTCCCAGAAAGCCACGGCATCTCTAAACGCTGTGAACAGGGGTCTGTTTCATAAAATATTTTAAATCTTGCTTCTTCTGGATAAACCTATGTACATGTTCACGTACATTTTTGCACACAACGGGAAACATGCACAAATTAGTGCCATTTAAATTCTTCCTTCAACGTTCTATCTTGATGAAGACATGAAAGCATACTATTGGCATCTCCGCCAGTGTGTTTGGAGGCTTCCTAGTCTGTGAACTATGTGGACTGGCTTGCAACAACCATGTTACTGAACTCCTTGTAGTCAAGACAGCTGAACAGCCACCGTGGTGTCTAGAAGGCTCAACCAGAAGCAAGAGCAGACAATTCTGGGTCTCACCTTTTCTTATGATTAGACTATTTTGTGAATTAAGTTCTCTGAAACTCTATTTTTCCTCCTCTGGTATCTGAAGCTGAACTACAAAACTGAAAGATTTTTCCATTTAAAAATAGAATCACATCTGAAATGACTACAGAAGTCAGATTCTAGTTGTGGAGTGGATCTGTAAATCCTTGGTCTTCTCAACCTTTTCTTTCTTTTTTTTCTTTTTTCTTTCTTTCTTTCTTTCTTTCTTTCTTTCTTTCTTTCTTTCTTTCTTTCTTTCTTTCTTTCTTTCTCTCTCTCTCTTTCTGTCTTTTTATATATTCTTTCTTAATTTGCTTTTTTGTTAGTTAAATCACTTTATTTTTTTCTTTTGATTTTTTTATAATTTATTTACTTTACATCCTGATTATAGCCCTGATTATAGTTTACTCAATTTACATCCTATCCTGATTATAATCCCCTCCCTGTCCTACCCTCCCTCCCTCTTCTCCCCTATCCCCATCCCCTAGTGCTCAGAAAAGGGGAGCCCTCCTCCCCTACCATCTGACCCCAGCTTATCAAGTCTCATTAGGACTGCCTGCATCCTCTTTCTCTGTGGCCTGGCAAGCCCCCCAACCAGGGTGTAACAAAAGTCAGAGACAACCCCCAAAATATGGGACACTTTATGAATTTGCATGTCATCCTTGCTCAGGGGCCATGCTAATCTTACCTGTATCGTTCCAGTTTGAGTATATGTGTTGCCAAAGTGAGCATTCAACACTCCTTAGAAGTACAGCCCCTTTCTCACTCTAAAGTAATCTCAGATTCTGAGAGTAAACTGACACCTCCTTGCCTCACTCTTTGCCTGGAAAATCCCAGGTCACTGATGGTCAATCAGAGTTCTCTACCTGGGCAGCCTCAGGGCTGCCCTGAAATTGGCTCATGTCCCCATTTGACCTGCAGAACACTGCTCAGAGCTTGTACTGGAGTTTTCAGAAGGATGCATACTTTCTCTGAGGTCATAAACTTGAGGAACGAAAGCCTTGGACATGGAGGGTTCTGCCATAGAAAGCCAGGCAAATGGAAGCTGAGATGGTGGCCTGAGTGTGTGGTTTGGATGGCTGGTCCTCAGGCTACAGTAAGACCCACTTCTGCCTTTGTCTCTACTTTGGGGGTTCTATTATTTTTAAAAAGTGAATTACTTTTGTTTGAGTAGTCTTTCCATCACCCCCACTCCAATTCCTAGTGGCCATACTGCGAGTGGGTAGACCATTAGGGGATATTAGTCAGCTTTCTATTGCTATAACAAAATACCAGAGAGAATTGATTTATAAAGAGGATGGGTTTATTTTAGTTGACAGCTTCAGAAGTTTGAGTTCATGGATTTCTGATTCTGAGGCTTTGGGCCTGAGATGAGGCAGAATAACAAGGAATAAGGACATAGTAGAAGATGCTACTCACTTCATGATGGCTGGGAGCAAAGAGATACAGGGTGAAGGACCAAGGACATTTATACCCCTCAAAACAACTCTCTCAGCAACCTGCTCCCTTCAAGTAGCCACAACTCTCCAAAGTTCTACCTTCTCCCAACAGCCCATTAAGCTGTAATCTCCATCAGGTATCATCAGTGTTCTGGTGAGATCCAGTCATCCTGATCCAGAAGCTTCCCAAGGCCCCATCTCTGTGCAACACTGCACTGGGACCCTCCAGCGGTAAACAGCTGCTCTGCAGCTGGAATCCTTCTCTTTCTTGGGTTGTGATTCTCTCATGCTCAGAAGCAGAGGCATGAGCTGCAGCAAGCAGGGCCTGTGGAGCTGGACCACACATGACTTGAGACTAACCAAGGATGTCAGACCTAACAGTGTTCCCCAGCACTCCCAAAATCCTCATAGCATTACCTGTTCTGTCTCTGTCCTGACTTCTAGAATTGGTCTCTGATGTTACATGCTGAAAAGAGAACATGTAGCCAAAGAAATGCCTAGAACATGACTTTCCACTCTGCGCTTGAAATAGACAGGGATAGAACATACATGCACATCCAAATAACTTCCCCTACTATGCACATTTGGAGATTTCTTTAGCATGAATATGTGTATATGCATGCTCACATACATGCTGACAGGTGTACACGTATGTATGAGGTGGAGGTCATTTATCTTTATTGTTCTCCACTTTATGTATTGGGGTGGGGCCTCTTGTTGGCTTGGTTAATCTGACTAGCCAGCTTGTCCTTAGAATTCCCTGTCTCTGCCTCCTGACATGTTGGAATTACAGGCAGCTCCCTGTGCATGCCAGGCTTTTATCTGGGTTGTGGTGATCTGAACTCTGGTCCTCATGCTTGATCCTCATCCTATCTCCAGGCCACAGAGAATTATTTTTAAATAAAATCTTATGATTCTTTCTATGCAGCACTTGGAATTGAACCCAGGGCTTCCTGTATGCTAGTCTAGAACTCTACCAACTGAGCAACACCCTCCCACTACCACAGTTTGGTGCTAGATTTTAAAAAGTAAAAATATGTCCTACGTAGAAGTTTGCTTATTTGTACCGAGAAGGACCTTGTGTGCCACATGCTTCTCTTGTGCTCTCCAGTCAGGCTCTGCAGAGAAGCCACACCTAATAACAGAGCCTGGAAGGAAGGTGTGGCAAAGTGCACACTGGAAGTGAGACATGGAGCACAAGCAAGAAATTCTTTGCTCTTACATTGAGATAACAGTCTCATGCTACCAGAACCATGGTTTCCATGTTGTCCAAAGTCCCGCATGTTTTCTCTGAAAGATCTGTCTCATTCTGAGATAGGTTTAAGGCCACAGTGGTAAGGAAGAGCACAGGGACCCTCTGTGTACTGTGTTCAGGGGCACCATATTGTAGTGATTGTCCCTTCTCAGCATCAGGGTGTTGCATCCATGCTGTCTGCTGACTTTCTTCAGATTTGCTGTTTTCACATTCTCTTTCTTATGCTTGTGCTCAGTTCCGAGCCTGTTTGTAGATTTTTGTAGTCAAAGCACTGTCATTGTATAGGACAGTTCCATCATAGGGTCCTTTTGACACCTCGAGAAATAAAGTAAGTAACCATTTTTTCTTGTGTTTTTGTGATCTGTCACTGTTTAGAGAGGATTCTTTTTTTTTTTTTTATGAAGAATGGAGCGAAGTTGTATTTCACACATTAGCAGTTGCACGCTGGTTACCTCCCCTATGGCCTGTGAATCCATACTTTGGGTCTTTTGGTGGGAAACAGGGACCCCAAACTCAGGAATAATTTACATTTTATTTTCTCTGTGCTGACCCTCCCTTCTGCTGCTCATTACTTTGATAGGTACTAATGAGACTTTCGTGTTGGAACACCAGAATCTTTCCCTCCATCCCTTCAACATATCCCTTGTCTGTCTCTAAGTTTGGCAGTTGTTTTCTCATACTTATTTTGATGTGCAGCAATGATGAAATGAAGCTAAAACGATTTGAAAACCCTTGATTTTATCCTGCATGCACCCAAATAGTCCATGGGATGCTTTTAAAAAAGCGTTCTTAGGTCATCTTTTCAGAGCTGTGGATCATTAGAAAGAGAACACAAACTTCGCTGTAAAGGTCAGGGCACCTGTGATAAGAACGAGGGCTGTTCTACCTTAAAGCCTCTTTTTCACTGTCCTCTAGCTGCCTGGGCCATTGGAATCTTTGTTCCACACCTGGTCAATGAGTCTCCACACTCACAGGGTCTTATGTACTTCAGGTGGATTGTGCATACTTTATACATTGTTGGTGTAAAGACTGAGTTGGTGTGCATACAGGAGACCCTTAATGAACATTTGCTTTCATCCTCAGATATTGTCAATGCTAAGGATTTCCTATGGGCCAAGTATTTATTAGATGCTGAAGATACAAAATAAGGACACCAAAGCTTTCCATCTTATTAGCTCCCGGAGCTCTGGGCCCATCATTGCTCCTCAGGGAGTCCATCTTGCTAAATGATCAGGGAAGAAGTGTGGACCTTCAGTCAGCAGCCCTTGACATTTGGGCTGTTGGAGCCAAGCTGAAGAGAGATATGTATGTGAGGTAGAGTGATCAGCATGAAGAAGGCCCAGCCTTAGGCAACATGGCGTATTGAGACTGGTGTGTAGATCAGAGTCTGAGGGAATAGGAAGTAAAGAACGATGTGGAGAGGCCAGCTTTCTAAAGGTCATATGAGCTGTACCACCTTGTCTAGGGTGGTGAGTCCAGGGTTGTAAGTGGGTCTCCTGCAGAGAGGGCTCTGAGTTGAAGGATGACTGTATCTCATGTGTCTCTTTCCATGTGGTGAGGCCCCACCTACGTCAGAAGCCTCCCAGTTCCAGAAACTCGACTCATACCAGCTTCCTTTTGCTTCCTATTAGCTCCCGGAATCCAGGCAAGTCACTCTGGGGAACAAGAGGACTGGGTTGGCTAAAAGTATTCTAAAACACTTTCCAAAGCAAATACGTGGTTTTCCTCAACAAGAAGAGAACAGCAGCAGCTGAATTCTGTTACTGCAAACCTCTGTTCCATGAGGAAGTTGTGTATGGGGGAAATCCACCAAGGATATTGGATTCTATCTTTCTGACACAAACCAATGATCTGAATACAGTTTTGTAGATTTGCTCAAATCCTATTTAATTTTCCACTGAGGTAGGGTCGGGGTTCCTATTCATAGGAAATCTGAAATGGAGTTACCACGGTGTATGCCAGGTTGTGTTAGGGACTATTATCTCTAGTATTCTCTGTTTATTTCATCCAGTTCTTCTGGGTTAGACAAATCCCTGCTTCAGGCATGATGGCATTTACCACCAAAAACTCACTTTCAGAGTGTCCACTGAGAGAACCTCATGCTTCTTACAAGATGGCTCCTGGACTGAGCTTTGTAGACTCAGGTCAGCTCTGTGGGGGATATGGCTGCAGCCTGTCCTCTGGGCTCCCTAACCAGGCCTGAGAAGAATGTCTGTGAGTCTGGTCCTCTTTTGTCACTGTCTCACTGGGCCTTTTTATCCTCTTGTTACATGTCTATACTTTAAAACATGCTATTCTTTTAAAGTCATCCACTTTTTTTTTCAATTGAGACAAGGTCTTTCACTGGTCTAGAACTCACGCTTATGCTAGTCTGGCTGGACACTGAGCTTCTTTACCAACACTTTGATTGCAAATATATGCCATTATGTCCAGCTCTTTACATGGGTTCTAGGGATCTACCTCAGGTCCTCAGGTGTATGTTTCGATGGTTGGTGACACCCACCTGAGCAATGTTCTAGGCTGCATGACACGCAGGGAAGCGGGAAGCTGCAGTTCTGCAGAAGGCTGTGGAACCCTCTCAAGGCTCTTTAATATCTATTAATTAATTGAGCATTAATTCTTTAGTACTTTTTCTTTTAAGGCCACCAATGTGAGTCTCTGTAGCGGGTGAGGTGCTTAGGTAGTCTGGCACACCTTAACGATGCTCTATGACCAAGGTCCTGCTCCCCACGTGGGGCCCTTCCCAAATTTCTTGTTGCACAACCAGGTGTCTCCCCATTTGTATGGATTGCTTTTGGAAACATGTGCTGTCTAAATAGTCTTGTGATGTTCACTGGGTGATGCTCATCACGTTACGAATCTACTGCGGGCGCCAGTGACGCGCCTTCTGTGGACCCCAGGGTCTCACAGCACTTGTGAGATGATACATCTTCTGTACATGGGAGGGATCAGAAGCGCTGGTGTCACCTAGGACGCATGGGGTTGTGATAGGCAACTCTGAGCTCTGCTAATATGAGAGACTAATTGTCTGGTGAGGG